AATTTGCATATAGTTGCTCTGATTGGCTGGTGGGTGTGGCTTAAGTTGTAGTGAGGGTACGATCAATTTGCATGTTTGTCTTTTATTAGTTTAGACTAGAGGCCCGGTGCATGAAATTCGTGCACAGGTGTGTGTGTGTGTGTGTGTGTGTGTGTGTCCATACCTTAGCCCAGGCTGCACCCTCTCCAATCTGGAATCCCTCTCACAATCCTGGACTGCTGGCTCCCAACCGCTCGCCTGCCTGCCTGATTGCCCCTAACCGCTTCTGCCTGCCAACCTGATCACCCCCTAACCACTCCCCTGCTGGCCTGGTCCCCCCCAACTGCTCTCCCCTGCCAGCCCAGTCACCCCTAACTGCCCTCCCTTGCCAGCCTGGTCACCCCCAACTGCCCTTCCTGCAGGCCTGGTTGCCCCCAACTGCCCTCCCCTGCAGGCCTGGTCACCCCTAACTGCCCTCCTCTGCAGGCCTGACTGCCCACAACTGCCCTCCCCTGCTGGCCTGATCGCCCACAACTGCCCTCCCCTCCTGAACGTCTTGTGGTGGCCATCTTGTGTGTTGGAGTGATGTTTAATTTGCATATTGCCTCTTTATTATATAAGATGATTAATCTCTGAAATGCTGAGTCATCCTCAAAACATGAATGATTCATCTTGTGTTTATTATAATGACATTCTGACCACCATGCAATATTGCAAAAAAGGATTTTGTGTGTTCATTGCACAGCTTTTTATCTGACCAGCAAAGAAGATTGAAAGCCTCAGACAAATGCCTTGGTGATGAGTCTACTAATAAGTCTGTAGCCACAGTGAACTTGCCCTTGCTTTCTTTGAAGATAAAGTGATATGATGTCTCATTGAAAAAATGATCATGCAGATATTATGTGGATATTTTGTTTCTCTGAGTAGCATCATGACAACCATGATAGAATGAGTCACAAAGTGAAGGTAGAGAAACTGCCTCCCTTTACTGGTATTGGCCTACAATAAAAACAGTTGGGGCTAAACAAAAGAAAGTTACCTTTTGTGTTTCATAGAAATTATTAAGAGGGCAGTTTAAATGTAAGACTACAGAAAAATCTTAACTCAGTTTCTATCAATATTACCTTTTGAGCTCGTATCCCCAAAACACTGTGGTGTCACCTTGGGCAGATTTTAAAAAATGCAGGTTGGCAAGCTAGCTAGTGGGCAAGGTAGGTGTGTGAATTAACTATGATGCTGGGTAAAATGAAATAAATGAAAAACATGAAATAAATTACTAAAAAAGACAAAAGCAAGGCCAATTAAAAAAATTATTAAGTGCATCAAATTGCTTAATATTTGCTAATTGCTTACTCTCAGTTTGCTTATGTCTCATGGACTGCCACACTTTTTGTAGAGCTGCAATAATAGGAATATAGACCACTATTATGAAGTCTCAGAAGTAGAAGTAAATAACTGTAATTATGTGGGTTGGGAGTATTTTATGGCAGAAACAACATTCATAGGAAAAATTCCATTTCATTGGGCAAAAAAAAAAAGGCATTTCAGGAAGAATACATAACATGAAACGAAAGAACATGGCTGTGAAAAGTCGGTAAACTCTTGCTATTCATACTATTACCTTTTTTAGTTTTGATTCTTCTACAGTAAAGCCAAGGTACATGGTCAACAGTAATTACTCATTTTTCCAGGTCATGGGTTTGAATTATGGAAGTCACTGAGCTAGCATAGGAGCCAAACCTACAGTTAAGGATCTGTCCAACTTTTGATTCTTTTTTAATACATTGTGTCATCGCTTGAGGTAGAGGAGGAAATGTCACACTGAGGTTTAGCTGATGTAGGCTGTGCTTGGCTCCCCTTTTGGGTCGGGACCATGTTGACTCCACAAATCTTTCATCTTCCTTAGATCATTGGATACCTTAAGCAAAAGGTTGGAGCACAGGAGGGCATTGCATCAAAACTGATTATCAGCCTTAGAATCCTGCGTTCAGTTCTTAGCCCTGGAACTTTCATGCAAATTACTGTGTGGATTTGGCAAAGTTACTTAACCATCTAAACCTCAGGATCCTTATCTGAAAATGGGTTACAGCCACCTATCTTACCAGGGTATAAGGATAATGGAGATGACTATTTTAAAGCAGCGGTCGCCAACCGGTGGTCTGTGAGGTCCAAAAGGTTGTTGACCGCTGGTTTAAGGAAACCTTTGAAGCAGCAGTCGCCAACTGGTAGTCTGCGGACCACTGGTGGTCCGTGAGGTTCGAAAGGTTGGCAACCACTGTTTTTAAAGCACAAAGTATAGTGTCTGCACATAGACAGTAAACAGATGTGTCATAATCATTGAGAAATCCAATGTACAGGGAGGAAAACCCTTCATAGATCTTCAAACCATTCAGTAGGCACCTGAATATATTATCAAGCATTTTATGACAACTAAAGAGGCCTGGTGCATGAAATTCATGCACGGGAGGGGTGGGTCCCCTCAGCCCAGCCTGCACTCTCTCCAATCCGGGACCCTCAGGATTGGGCCTAAATCAGCAGTCGGACATCCCTCTTACAATCCTGGACTGCTGGCTCCTAATTGCTAACCTGCCTGCCTGCCTGGTCGCGGCTGCTGGCAGGCACCCGGGACCCAGGCTTCCCTCGCAGCCCTGGTTTCATCCCGAAGGTTGTCCAGAAGGACGTCCAGTCTAATTAGCATATTAAGCTTTTATTATTATAGACTAGAAGCATGTTGCATGAAGATTCGTGCAATAGGCCTTTCTTCCCCTGGCTGCCGGCACCGGTTTTCCTCCAGCACCCGAGACCCAGGCCTTTGGTCTGGCCACAGTGAGGCTTGGCTTCTCCACTGCAGTCTTCAGTCTTCAGTCCGGCTGGAGCCTTCAGTCTTCACTCGGTGCCTATGTATGCAAATTAACCACCATCTTTGTTAATTAATTTGCATACTCATCCGATTGGCTGGTGAGCGTAACGGAGTGACACCAATTTGCATGTTTCTCTTTTATTAGTGTAGATTCTGTGTAACCCAACACTTGAATATTGCCACCATTTGTGCCAGACCTAAGGGCTGTAGTATTATTTTTTAGGAGTAACCTGTTGTAACAGATTGGTGAGGGCAAGGGGAGGGTGACTGTATAATCATGTGACTTATTGGCACTAATTCCCTAAATATCTAATCAGAGCACATGCAAGAAAAGAAAATAGTGCAGTAAACCCTCAATTTTGCGGACCTCGGATTAAATGGGCAAAATTTCCGGTCCATGTGTCATACGTGAAAATTAACACCCTGTTAATTTTAAAATGATTTTAACCAACATTTGCTCATAATGAAATTAACTGGCTATTTTTTGTTATTAATTCAGTTATTTTTAACAAATTTTAGCAAATAGGTCCCATGTTGGAAAAAACACTGTAGTAATTTTACCAATATAAATATTACATATGTACAACTATAGTCTACATATTTAAATTCAAGTGTCACTGCTTGTAAACAATGTTTGACAGAAGATTAGCATGTGATTACATCACATGATTACATTGAATCACCTGCAGTAACTGGTTCTCTTGTCACTTGGATGACTTTCTGCAGCAGTTTTAATACCTGCCAGCCCTTGTTCCCATGTGCACTAAGCCACGCCCCAGCCATGCTCATTTGTTTACTCATGGTGACTGGTGAATGCAAGCATTTACTAGACCTATTCAGTATAAACTTAAAATTATAGTAATATATATAGAAAACTTTTCTGTGAAATTAAACTTTTCATACATACTTAATTTTAATTACACAAACGTGTCTACATAGAGACAGGTAAACTAACTAATTTGTCAATTTTTTAACATAATGTATTTGGAACATATACTTTATTATATAATGGACTTTCGACTTCGCTCTGAGATTCCACAGTCTGTTCCAAATTTTAATTATGCAAACATGTCTACATAAGTAAAAATAGGTAAACTAATTTGTTAATTTTTTAACATATGCATTTGGAAAACCTACTTTATTATATTATGGACTTTTAACTTTAACAGACACACCCCCTCACTGGAATTAGTCCTTTATATCGAGGTTTTACTGTACAGATGTTTCTCACAGAGCAGAGAACGAAGGGAAAGGCTTGGGGCACTGGGTGAGAGATCCATTTGAGGAGGCTACCCAGGGGAGTCAGAGGATCCAAGGGAGTAAAACCCAATGAAGAGAAGGCACAGAAAACAAGGATTGGGGGAGGGGGCACCCAACAATCTCATTACCCACTTTTGCTCAGGAATGGCATCCAGGGGCATTTAGAACAAAAACAAAAATTTTAAGCACAAATAAGGGTCTTGAGTAAATGGAGAAAAGGAGGGGAGAGATGCAGGAACACTCCTGCCAGATGCCTTAAATTATTTATTTACTGTCAGGCCTTTTCACACCATCCCTTACCCTGCAAAAAATGAATTGTGTTTATATGTGGTGTGTAAACATAAGAATCTTAACTAATTTTTGACCCATCTTTTGATTTTTCTTCTATTAGAGAAGTGGTTTGATTTCATGTGCTTTTTGTCCTAAATTCAGACTATAGCCCAAGGACTTCTCAGCATGAAAGGCACATAGACGTCATTTTAGATTTGTCTAACGATTTAGAGGAAACAGACAACTTTCAAAACATGCCTATACCACCTTCTGACAACTAGGATCAAATTTTAGTTGCAAATTAATTATAATTTCCCTTTATCTTGATGGAACAACCACAAATCAAAATTAGATTTGACTGTATTAGAAAGAGGGGCCGTTCTGAAATGACCAATGATATCAAGGAAGCTACAGTATCCTGACTCTTTATTCTTTCATATGTACAGAGGGCTATGAGGGTAACTCAGAGTGGAAAAACCCTTTCCATAGCTCACTTGCATCCCAGTAGTTAGCAGGAGTGTAAGTTATGATTTGTTGCCTAAGAAAATCACCCTTAAACATAGTGGCTTGTTATAACAGTTTATTTTGTAGTTTCTGATCATGATATTCCACTCATGCTTCTGCATTTTAGCACCCTGGGCTGAGTTCAGCTGGCTCACTGCATCTGCAGGCACCTTGGGACAGACGGTCTAGAGGAGCCTCAGCTGCGATGTTTCATCTGTTCCATGGGATCTGTCATCCTCCAGGAGGCTGAGCTGGGCTACTTCAAATGGTAGCAGCAGGGTTCCAAGAAAGTAGTTAGAAGCAAAAAGGTCTCCTGAGGTCCAAGCGTAGAGTACACATAACACTACTTCCATCAATCCATTGGCAGCCCAAATTCACAAGGTAGGAAAATAGACTTCATTTCTTAATAGGAAGTACTGTAAAATAATTGTGGCCATATTTGTAATTTACCACAAAAACTCTGTAGAAGATTCTGTTTAGGAAAATATACCTGTTCCCTATACTAGACCAGAATACCTGGTCATGTTAAATCAAATGCCCCCTCTCTAGAGAACCCAATTAATATAGCTTTGGTAGGTACTCAAACAAGTATGGGAAATGATTACTTATAAATGGTTACTTTTATCATAAAAATTGAAATCAAAGTAATTTGCAAATTATAAAAAGGAAAACATTAAATCTAATAATATATCTAAAATACTAAACTATAAATCAACATTTCTTTGTACCCAACAAAGGACCAAGTATCAATAGTTTCCTGGAAAACATCCTATATAATAAACCGGTAATATGCAAATTGACCATCATGCCCTCACAAGATGGCTGCCTACGACCAGACTGGCAGGGGAGTTAGTGAGGAACAACCAAATGACTGAACAAGCAGGCTGCATGGAGTAACCAGGCCGGCAGGTGGGTTAGTGAGGGATGACCAAATGACTGAACAAGCAGGCTGCATGGGGTGACCAGGCTGGCAGGGGGGCAGTAAGAGGCGACCAGGCTGGCGGGGGCCAGTTAGGGTGACCAGGCCCGAGGGGAGGGTGGGTGCAGTTGGGGGTGACTAGGCCGGTAGGGGGAGGCAGTTGGGGGCGATTAGGCTAGCGGGGGCGGGGGGCAGTGAGGGGCGATTAGGCTAGCAGGGGGGCAGTGAGGGGCAACTAGGTTGGCTCGGGGGGAAGTTGAGGGTGACCAGGCCAGCAGGGGGGGCAGTTAGGGGTGACCAGGCCAGTGGGGGGGCAGTTGGGGGCGACCTTGCTGGCAGCAGGGGGCAGTTAGGGGCAGCGGGGGAAGGAAGGCCTACTCTTGCATGAATTTCATGCATTGGGCCTCTAGTATACATATAAGATAGGTAGATAAATAGATATGTACATATACATACATACATACAAAGGAAGGGGGATTATGTATGTATATTTCATATAATCTACTTTGGTCAGCTTCATTTCAAGATTATTAAAGAAGTCTTAGTAACACTACCCCTTTTTGTAATGACATGTTTCCTTGCTCCAGAAGAAAATTTGGTTATGAAAACAGCATGATCAGATGATCTCACCCTGAATACTGCATAATAGCTTCCAGATCCAAATGGTCTCCAAATCACTCAAACTATGTTTGAAACACTATATGTTCCCCACCCTTCTTTATGTTTTTTTTTTCCCTCCATCTGATATGCAATACCTTTTTTTGGGTCAGAAGGGTCGCCTGAAATTATGAATATGGAGAAATTTACATTCCCATTTCTTATTCTAAAATAAGCAGGGGATAAGAGGGTATTTGGAGGCACAGATCATAGGGAAATAAGTTTGGTATCTGGAGCCTATAGTTAAGGCACATAGAAAAAGCACATAGAAAAAACATATTTTTCTATGACTTGTGTTTCAGGATAAATATTATGATTGTTTTTATATTTTCAAAAGAACTTGGTAGGTATTCTCAAAGTCTGACTATAGTTTTTACAAATATAGTCAATCAAAAAGATCTGCTTTCTTTGGAACTGAAGAAGAAATCTTAATCTGTTATATCCTTGTATTGATGCTATCCAGAATGTGTTACTAAAATTAAATGAAATAGACAGCTTTGGGACTTGTCACCAAGTGTTGCTTCTGCAGGGAATACCATATCATATTTGCTGTTGAAATAATTACATGCAACAGAACTGAGTCTTATCCCTTAAAACTTAAAGTTTTTTGTTTTCTATGTGTACTTTATGAACTATTCTTCCAAACTAAGTTCAGACAATTCTGATTTATAAGAGCCAATAATATATTCGCTTTCTCAAATAATTATTTTCTATTTAGTGTTTAAAACATTGAGCAGATGACCATATTGAATAACAAACTAAGATAAAGTTAATATTAAACATAATTTGCAGTCATAATTATAGAATTAAGAGGTGTCTTCAAGTTCATCTAGTTGATTAGTCATAGATGAAGTCCGGGGTGGGGTGTTGGGGATGGAAGGGAAGACATCTAAAATCACTAAAACTTGACATTGACACCTGCGACCAGATCCCAGTTTTTCTGACTCTCCTCCAGTGATCCTTCTACATTCCTATAGTTCTCTGTTTCTTTAGTTCTCTAGTATCTATAACCATGTAATTTTTAAAATTGAGACATAATTGATATATTGCCATGTAATTCTTGATCATTTCACTTTCTTAACAGTCAGGGTGCCTTAGCTGAGGAGCTTTCTGGGCTCTCCACCAACCCCTCCCACATACCTTTCATGGTCTTACCTCTCACCAAAAAATCTCAAACCCAGACACCTGGGCAGCA